GGGCTACAAATCCCGCGGAGAGGCTGGGGCTGCCTGGGGAGGGGCAGGGGACGAAGCCCCGGAGGTCCCCGGCCTGTGACTGTGTCTACAAGCAGCTGCCGATTTGGCGACAGGAAAAATACAGCCCCTTTTGCAAAATAAGACGCGCTGGGGTTTCTCGTGGGAAAAGTGGACACTAAACGCATCTCTCTAGTTTTCACAGAGCAAACGGCCACGACAGGGCCGCACGCCTGGATCGCACGGGTCCTCCGGTTCCAGTGACATGGCCAATATTACTAGAAAGCGCCAAAAACTCTTCCAGGACGTAATTCTGTGGCCTCGACTTATTAAGGAGTTGTTGTTTTTAACAGATTTAGTTCCCACGAGGTGGGTTTCTCCCTTAATTGCGTTGGAGTCATCTTCATCTTAAGAAAGGCTCCTGTGGTTGGAGTTGGATCACCGCTGATGTAATTAAAAGCCTTTCTTCTTCCCAGCGTTGAAAACCGACACCTCGTCAGAGAGAAGCGGGGTTTCTGTGGACCCGGCACCGTGGGACCTCGGTGTGGCACTGCGAACTGCAACAGCCAGCAGCGCCCAGCCCCTGCCTGCAAATGTCGTCATGCCAGGCACAGGGGACCCGGGGCCGGGCCGGGCCTGCAGAGCCAGCACGGAGGTCTCCGTCTGCGTTTCCACAGTGGGTCCCCGTTGTCCCCTCCCCACCCACTCTCGGGCTGAGTCTTCCAGCTGTCTCCGTCTGCACCATGCCGAGGTACCCCGCATTCTTGTCACTCCTGTGGACAGTGTGTCCCTTCCCCCTGCAAATTCATATGTTGCAAGCCTCGTCCCCAGCTGACGGCATTAGGAGGTGGGGCCTTCCACAGTGATGAGGTCAGGAGGGTGGAGACCCCCCGATGGGCTCAGAGCTGTCACAGAGACCCCAGAGGCCCCTAGACCCTTCTGCGTGTGAGGACACAGCCAGCAGACAGCCACCGATGAACCAGAAAGCGGGTCCTCGGCAGACTCCACACCTGCCAGCGCCTCGATCTCGGACCCGCCCGCAGGACGGTGAGAAGTAAACGTGCGTTAAGCCTCCCGTCAGGAGCAGACCCAACACAGACACTGTCCCTGAGCTCATGGAACAGGACACGTGGGCAGGGGGCTTCACACCTATTTCAATGATGATACACCTATGACCACAAATGGTGACAGGGTCACAGATGAAAGGGCCAGGGCACCTGCGGACACCACAGTCCTTTGCTGGGGGACGAGGGCGGAGTCCCAAGGTGACCTTCGCTCCTACAGCCTGTGACCCCGAAGCATGCGGGGGGCGGGGGGCACCGTCATACCCGCCGTGCACCGCGTGTCTCCCGAGACCCGCCTGTCTGTCCAGCAGCCCAGCCTCAGAAGGGACCTGGCGACCGGCCCCTGAGCTGCAAACGCAGCGGACAGCCCAGCTGCGGAGGCACCGACCCGTCCCCGCCCGCCCCGCGCACCGCGGGGGTCCCGCACCTGCTGAGTCTGCAGTGGCCACGACCCAGGGGCCCCGCCACCTCCCCGCCCTGGCCCTGCTCCCCACGCGCACCCCGGCGCCCTGCGTCCTGAGTGGGTCTTCACTGAGAGGGCCTGGGCATTCAGCCGCCAGCCCGGCCTGCACCCCACTGCCCCGGGGAGGCTGGGGACCGGCCTGGGTTTGCGGGGTGCGGGTGCATCCCCCTGGCCTCGGCAAGCGACCTCCCAGCAGCGTGCACAGGCGCTCGGCCGCCACTGCCCACGGTCTCTTTGGGGACAAAATCCGCGTCCTCACCCAGGAAGGGCGATGCCGTCTGTCGCACCTAACTGTCCTTCGCTGGTGACGCCAAAGCCACCAGCCCCCGCACTGCACCGAGCTGGTTTGAGGCCACCAGGCGGCTGAGGAACTGGACCCCGCGGCCGCGTCCCCCACAGGCGGGAGGGCGCACAGGCTGCCGGGGCTCTCCGGGGCGCAGGCCACTCGCAAACCTGGCCCCGCAGCCTCTGGATAACCAGGCGCACCCCGAAGGGCAGCACGCGGTGCGGGTCCCAGCGTGGGCTTCAGGGATCCCAGACCTTCGGGTCACTCCTGCGCTGCCCCTACCCAGCAGAGCCCACACGCGGAGACCCCCGGGGCTCCCCTCAGCTCCCCCTGGCCAGGCACCCCGCGTCTGCACGGGGAATGGGAGCTGGCAGCCGCCCCCACTTCCGAGTGGGGTACAGGCCGTGAGAGGTGACTCGGTGCCCGTGGCCGCCCCTGTGCGGTTGCTGACACACAGGCTGTCCCCCAAGACCGGCACCCCTCCTGGGGTCCCACGGGAGGAGACCCGTCCTACGGCTGCTGGAGAACCTCAGAGGGCCAGGGAGGCACAGCACCCCAAAGCCAGCGCGTCTGATGCCTCTCACGTGCTTTTAACGTGACCACTTCATACTATTATTCGGCCTTAAAAAAGAGAGAGAAGTGCCATCGGCTGCAGCACAGACCTGCAGGACATTACGCTCGGGGAAACAAGCCAGATGCAGAAGGGCCAGGATGCGTGATCCCACTCGCACCAAGACTCTGAAATAACCAGACTCGCAGAAGCAGCGGGCAGAAGCGGCTGCCAGGGCCGGGGTGGGGGCGGGGGCGGGGGAAATGGGCGCGGCTGGTCCAAGGGCACAGAACTTCGGCTCTGACAGGCGGACAGGTCCTCGGGGCGTGGAGCCCGAAGTTCACACTGTGCGTGGTGCACGTAAACATGTGCTAAAAAGCTGGATCTCAGGTTGTGTTCTTATCACATAAACGATAACGACAGTGGTATTAACAGTGAAAAAGAGGCCAGGAGGAAACTTCTGGACGTGATGGCTAAATGTTCACAGCACAGATTGTGCCGAGGGTGCTAACCTCATCAAGTTGTATATACTAAATACGAACGGCTTTCTCCCTTCGTCAGACCTCAAGAAAGTGTTTTTATTTGTTTTTTTTTTTTTAAGTACACTTTGATTTAAGTGGCCCTGCCTTCTAAAATCAATCCCCCCGGGTACAGTCATGCATCTGCTTTAGGGCGTGACTCCCCCGATGACGTATAACGTGCTGGCTGGCGTTGCAACAGCCGTTTTTCTTCTGGAAGTTCTAGGGTGACATCATTCAACATTATCTTCAGAGGCCCCGTACTGTTTCTCTGCTTTTTTTTTTTTTGTAGATACTGGAAAGAAATAGACGGCAATAGATCTAACTGCACCTACGTTCTCGTTCGCGGAGAAAATTGCTAGATGATAGAAATTCATATCTGTGGAGCAGCCTGTAATTTATGACAGGAATTACTCCGTTCACCTCATTCGGTCTTTGTATCGACCATACTTCTGTCCTGGTTTTACAGGATGATATATGGAGAGTCTTTGATTTTCCCCGAGTCAGCGAAATATCAGGTGTGACAAAAGACTCTTATCCAGAATAGGAAATAAATTCCCACAAATCAATAAGAAAAAAGCAGGCGATCCAAGAGCAAAAATGAGCAAAAGATGAAGCTGCGCCTGGTTTTCACCGGCGAGGGTGTCGGTGTTGAACGGTCTCTGAATATGACATGGCTAAACCCTCAGCAGTTTGCATCTTTCTAAACGAGCTGCACGGACAACCGCCCCTCGCAGAGCTGACCCCCGTTTCCATTCCGTCTCGGGGAGATGGGAGAACCCCCCCCCATTTAACCCTATGCGTCCCGGTTCTGGGGACGTTTTGTGGGGAGCACGTATCACCTTTGCAGTCGACGGGAGGGGAAGGGGGCGCATA